GCTTGGATTCCAGAATTCCACTTTGTAGCATGCATGAAACGTCATCATTATGCACGCTGACTCTGCTAGCCATGCCATACTTTCCCATGCGTTTGTTTTGAACTGCGCCGAGTCCTTCCACTCCTGTGTAGTCTCATCATTTCCGCTTCCCCAATGGGGGCTTCCCCAAAATACTAGACCGTATCTGTAATTCCACGCCTTTGCGAATTCGTCAAAAGGTAAAAACTGCTTGCAGCTGAACCCAGACACATTATAGAAAGGCCCTGCCGCGCCTGCGTCGCACAAAACTTTCAAATTCTGATTAGTGACATCATACAACTTCTGTGCTTGTTCCAACCATGGTACCGTTGGGTCCAATTCCCCTACTGCGTTCACTGTTATTGGTCCAAAGCTACTGGTTGGTTTTGGCTGCTGTTCCAAATCTGTCAATATGAGCCTCTCCAAATCTCTGGCTTGCGTTCCACAATTCCATTTGTTGCCATCACTTGAATCCATTGAAGAGGCTGCGCCTAATGTTTTCATACGTAACCAACCAGCAGTTGGTTAGTCTTCTCGGCTTGTAGATTTGAGCCCGGTGGCTGCGGCCCTTTTCTCTCTCTCTCTCTCTCTCCTTCTCTGTCTACCCCTCTTGTCTCTCTACTGCCACTATTACTACTACCAATACTACTACCACTACTACTACTACTACTACTACTACTACTACTACTACTACTACTACTACTACTACTACTACTACTACTACTACTACTACTACTACTACTACTACTACTACTACTACTACTACTACTACGACTACTACTACTACTACTACTACTACTACTACTACTACTACTACTACTACTACTACTACTACTACTACTACTACTACTACTACGACCAGTACTACTACTACTACTACTACTACTACTACTACTACTACTACTACTACTACTACTACTACTGTTACTACTAAGAGCACCGCAGGTCCTATGAGCACCACGGAGACGGCGGAATGGAGCGCGAAGCGCAGGTGTGTATTTTTTCCTCGCGATGCTCCTCTGCGGGCTATCCAAGCGCGCGGTAGCTAGCAGCTACCTTGGGTGTAGCTAGCAGCTACATTAGGAATGCTAGCGAGCAGCCAGCTTGGGGCGAGAACGAGGAGAAGGTGAGAGCAGAGATTCAACTGCTAACAACCACTTCTGGTAATTGCACGTCGCAGTATACAAGCCAAGAAATCTACCATTTAGGGCAAAGCGCTCTGCCCGCTGGGTCAAGCACAACTACGAGCACATTGGCGCCAGTCCCAGATCGGATTGAAATTTCACGCAACATATCCTTAGTCTCGCTTCCTGGGTTGCGCCATAGCCTCACGCCGTTCGGCGCCGTGTCAGGAGTGTAATTGTTCGCGTAAACAATCTCCTC